AGCACCACTGAACTGTAACAGGGCAGTTGATAATGGTACCTCAAATTATTCATGGACCAGTTGTGCAAAATTTTTCATCGCCCTACCGCGCCACGCTCGAAAGTACCTCGTGCAAGTGGCTATTCGTAGGTTGCCGACTTCGCTCCTCATCGTACACTGCCACTCACACACTGATTCACAGACACTCAGGCACATACAGTCACACCAGCTGGTACTGTCGGCCATCTTCGTGACTAGATGCGTCTAGAATTGAGACCAATGAAATACCCTCACTAGCGTATCTGCAGCATATAATCAGAAGTATTAACTTGACTCTAAAGCCTCCTCCGCTTTACGTGGTACTCATATACACTATTGAGGCTGACTTACATATTCCTTGGTAAGTTAGAAAGCACTTTCGTGATTTTCCCTCACTTCATTCGTCCACAATTAAATAAATCGGAGCTGGATGACTTCATGCCAGTGATTTTAAATGAAGTAGATTGGCTGGAATTACGTTCACTGCTATAGGTCTGGTCAGGGAACACATGCCACCACTGCTCCCTTGAAGCTCCGAATCTTATACGCAAGTTCCAATGTACCTGCGTGATCTGTAAATGTACTTCGGTTGGGGAAAAGTTTAGCTTTATGTGAAAGCAACCTCATACTGAAATAACGTAAAACAGTTGTCGTAGGAAAGACTCACGAGGATCAAACACCTCTCAATCTTGCTGAAAGTCCTATATTTTGCGGTATGCTGCCTGTCGCTGAGAAAGGCATGTAGACGTGCATCCACAGTCTGCCCATTTCTAGCCTCTTAAATAACTAGTGTTTCCATGTTATCGGGGCATGTGGTCACAAAATTCTATGTGCTGTTGTGTTTATCAGCATACCCCTTTTATCTGCTTACCCACCAATCCATCATTTATTCATTCTTTACTGTCAGATCCATTTTTTAAACAGCAGTATATAGCATGAATGTACATCAGTCCATTAATTCCGCATCATGCAGCTCACCACTCCACACAATTTTCCATCAAGTTACAGATTAACATATGCACCCATTATGACTTCTTTGTCCTAATTTTAGCACACATCGACTGAGTGTGAAAATCTAATGGATGATATTTTGTGTGACAAAATTGACGTTCATGAAGAAGCTATTGCCTCCGAGCATCCAAACACCATTTTAGGAAACGATCTAACAAATTGTGTTCAAGTAAGAGGATTAATTTAAACAGGGTTCACTAAAGGGTAAGCTCCGTATATGAAAGATACTTACTTCCCCTTTCAGTGACTGACTGACTGGCTGACTGACTAACCAACCACAGTGTCTAGCAAAACCCATCTCAGTTGATTAGTCTGCAGTCACTTGATCAGGAGCTTAGTGGAGCTAGCATTGCAATGATTTATGAAAATTATTTGGCAGTTCATAGCATGTCTGCACTGCTTTATTGATCCTATTTGTAGCATGATTTGATGTCGCTCAAGCATTACTTACTTGCCGCGAGTAGCAGTTTCAAGAGAGCATGATCAAAGTTAGAGGGAGTGATTAACTTGGATGGGGTAATCTGATCGATTAGGGTCAATAATATATGCATAAAAATATTAATGCAAATACCATTTTGATGCAAATGTGGAAGTCAAAAATTTTAGTATTTGCGTAGTCCATTGGAGCAAATAAAGGGGTTAGCACCATTGACTTACTTCGCGGAAAGTGTGAGTAGTAGTAATGCTTCCACCAATAACTGACCAATTTGTACAAATCATTCGAAACAATCCAATGTATGCGTAGACACCTCGATAAGATATTGATGGTCTCCGCATCCTTCTATGACTTCCGTAGTGTTTTTTTGCACGAGTCGCTTTGTACCTTTTCCTCTTCATTTTCTCTAAGGACTCTGCACTTCTAAGAAAGTGCAGATGATGACATTGTGCCTGACTAAATAATACTAGCGCGTTTCTGTTCAGACACTGGACGGAAGAGAATTCATCCTGGTCGTGTGTCATCGGTAATCGGCAGGGCATCTTCAGTCTTGCCCTCCTAAAGAATACACAAAGAATTATGCTACTAATAATTAGTGAGCAGGCAGGATTTTAAAATAGGCAACAGAGCGGGCCCCTTGTTCTACGCCCACGTTGCAGTTAGCGCATCAAGTCGGCTGCAAGTTTACGATCAGCACATTTACCTAGTCCGGCATCTTCATCAATGTCTGCGAGGCTATAGTGAGTATACTTGGAGAAGTCGCGTCAGGGCACCTCCAAAAACCGATAAGCATTGCATTCGTTACTGCCGCCTCGTCGTCTAGACACACTTAGTAGTGGTAGGGTTGGCACCTTAAAGGTACATTCCGAATCTCTTCTCGACACATTTTGACCATCCTGCTAAAAGAACGTAGGCATTAAATTAATTGTGGGAATGTTTTGTGAAAATACAGAGGCAATGCAAATAAAACGAGCCACTGTTACTAAGTCTTCTGTAGTGTGTCAAAGAGGCGGTAAATTTACTTGAGGAATAGTTTAATTACCCCAAAAAGGAAGGGAGTTGAAAAATACAAAGTCTGAGAAACCACTTACAAACTCCTTTCTAGTTCCTTAAGATTCTGCAGCGGGGTTTGCCAGACGCCAAGTTATTTTCTTGACCAGAAGCCGCTCAGTCTTAGGTTCCTTAGTAACTTTGTAGTGTGCATATTCTAAGGCTTAAAGGCTGCCCAATGTATCCGTTTGAAGCTGCGGGAACACAGAAGACGAGCCATGAAGAACAAGGCTGATGAATGGATTTGAAGAACTGCTTTTTGTGTCTTGCACGTATCTACCAAGTTAGGAAAATAAATACGCATAATGGTATAGGCACGGCAATTTTATGTCCAGGCATTAAAGTTCAATTATCAAATAAACAGAAACTTGGTAATAAGTAAAGACGTAGCAAGATTGCATAAACTAGGACCTACGATAGTCGCATTAGTTACCAGCTCCGCGTATTGACTAAGCAGGCTATTAATGACCACTCAAGGAGCAGAAACTGATTAAAACTGATGTCGGTGAAAGTCTAGCCATTGAGGGTCACCAGTGTTACGAGGACATTGCTGCCATATGGTAAAACAGATTGCAAACTTCAGTAAAAAAACAATAAATGGAACTTTGGCAAAACATTGAAGGAAGCTGAAAAATTCAAAGAATGCATCTGGGTGTTGCCTGGTTGTAGCATTGGATGGGGCGGCAAAAAGATGCAAGTAAGCTGTTTGGGCAAAATGTAAGATGTATTTATGTACTGAGATCTAGCAGCTATCTAAACACGCCTACTTATTCTGCACATAATCCTGTCAGCAGGTAAAATGTAAGAGTCGAAGCAGCTTGTCAATTTTGCTAATGGACTATCATTGGTAATAACAAAATCGCGTCTTTTTAATAAAATTTCAGTCAAAAGCGAGGCATTATATCCGGTGTGTGTGTAGGTTCGTGTCTGTCTCATGCCTTTACTAATTCTTTTTTAATCGTTCTATAAAAAGCTCCTTGGTTTTACTCATGGGCTGTTTATAACGTTCATGTACGAGCCTTAAACGGCTTGTCTTTCCTTAAAGCACGCTTTAAATGCTTGTGTCGCTCATGTTACTCAGTTTCTAACACCCCTCTATATGAAAGTGAATGATGAATGAGTGGCGCTTATGTATCTGAGTGACATATTTCCCGTCTTATCTAGTAACATCGCGAATTTCTGTTTTGGTTTAAGGCGACGGTGAGCACTTACAACTCGCCTACACACACTCCTCCAGATTAAAACCCCGGTGCAGCCGGTGATGAGGAATACCAAGTGGCAGGCGAGCCCTTTGAGGTTGTAGAGGCTTCTTAAATAGCGGCGACTCATTTTTCACCCCTTTGACTTTTGATTGTATTTTATTCTATTCATACTGCATTAGTAAATATTTGGCTACTAATAGTTGTGCTCAATTTTTATCTACCTGTATGTTAATCGAATTTTACTGAACCTAACTAAAATCTACCTCCGATGGCGAAAGTGAGATGCAAGAAACTGTCCCTATTAAGGATAGCTCCAAGCTAGTGCTAAAAAAACATAAGAGTATGATTCAAAACCTTTTGCTTTTGCACAGTTTTTGTTGCTTGACTGCAAAAATAATTGATTTCTTGAGCTCACAGCTGTGGAAATTTTTTCAGTCATCCATCACTTTCTATTGATTAAAAAAGGGTGCTTTAAAGTTTTCCTGTGGCTAGAGGATTCATTCAAAATGTAGCCGTAGAGGACGTAGTGTATCTCTGCAATTAGTTGCAAGCTAAGCGGCATATAAAGGAAGAGATGATTTCTGATGGATGACTTTGGCACTTGCCTAAACCATTGGTTTATGCATCCTCCTACCCCTGGAATTGGACGCTGCTAGTCTTTAGAATTTGTTTGTGCGGAAGT